AAGACAGCAATGCGAAGAATATTTTTTCCTACAACAAATGCTTTTTTTTTTTAACCGGATTTTTGTTTGCTAAATATATATGGGCTGGAGCGATAGCACAGCGGTAGGGCGTTTGCCTTGCGTGCGGCAGACCCGACCAATCTGGGTTTGATTCCTCCATCCCTCTCAGAGAGCCTAGCAAGCTACTGAGAGTATCTCGCCCGCATGGCAGAGCCTGGCAAGCTACCCGTGACATATTCGATATGCCAAACACAGTAACAAGAAATCTCACAATGGAGACATTACTGGGCCCGCTCGAGCAAATCGATGAACAACAGGAGGACAGTGATAGTGACAGTGAAATATATATATGTATATATTCTGAATTAAGGTCCTTTCGGGACAAGTATGTGAACAGCTCTGGCAAGTTGGGTACCAGCATCAGCAGAGATGCTAAGAGGCTGCACATCTCACGGGATCCCCACGCCTTCCCACCCTGCTCCCAAAGCTCAGTGATGTGGACAGGGTGTTTCTAAGCCAGAGGACACAGGATCTTCCCAGCAAGTTTAAGGTCCACGCCCCCTGCCCCCTGCCCCGAGGACAGTGCTCCTCCTCCTCTTCAGTTTCACTCCCCAAAGTCTAGCTCTGGGTCACCACCTCGAATTCAGAGTCAGTGATGGGGGGGCTGGAGCGATAGCACAGTGGGTAGGGAGTTTGCCATGCATGCGGCCAAACCGGGTTCAATTCCCAGCAACCCATATGGTCCCCTGAGCACCGCCAGGAGTTATTTCTGAGTGCAGAGCCAGGAGTAACCGCTGAGCATCGACGAGTGTGACCCAAAAATCCAAAACAAAAACAAAAACAAAAACATATAATTGAAACCCAAGCACAAAAATTTGTAAGTCTACAACTGTACCTCATGGTGTCTCACTAATAAAAATTAAAACAAAACAAAACAAAAAAACAAAAAACACAGTCAGTGATGGGTACCAGGAAGAGGATCTTTTCCTTCTTTTTAATTTTTTTTTTAATTGAACCATCGTGAGATACACCCTTACAAAGCTGTTCATGATCAGGTTTCACTCATACAGTGTTCCAAGACCCATCCCTCCACCAGTGTGCATTTCCCCGCACGAGTGTCCCCAGCATCCCTCCCATCACCCCCCACCCCCAGCCTGCTTCTATGACAGGCACTTCCCCCCCGCCTCTGATCTTTATGTCTGAGATGGACCAAGTCACTTCACAGGGGAGGGCTTGGCAAGGAAGCTCTTGGACAAGGAGCAGTTCTGCGTAGAAGAAATGCTGATGGGTGGTACTGGAGCACTGTCTAACTGAGACCTGATCATGAGCAGCTTTGTAAGGGTCTGCCGCACAGTGATTCAACAATAAAGGCTTTTAGAAAAAAAAGAAATGCTGTGAATATCCACACACCCAGGGCAGGCGATTGCCGGCCCACGAGTCGGCCCTGCAATAACACCCAGAGAACCGAGAGCTGCTAAGGTCCCATCGCTGGGAATCTGGATGCTGCCACCACCCCGTCCTCTCGGAGGAGTGCGACCCGTCCTGCGCTACTGAGAAGAGTGGGGTGATTTGCCCTGCGGAAATTTGGGGTGCAGGGAGCCGCTGCAGGCGCATTCGGTTCTCTTCCTACCTCTTTTCAGTTAAATATACTTCTCAGGCTTTAAATACACTGTGATGTTGAAAGGGCGCCTCTCGCAGTGATGGGTCTGGGGAGAGGCCTGCCCCAGAAATGAAACCACACGTGCTTTTTCTTTTCTTTTCTTGTTTTGGGCCACACCCAGTGGTGCTCAGGAATCACTCCTGGCAGTGCTCAGGGGGACTCTAGGCGGTCCCAGAGATCAAGCTCAGGCCGGTTGACTGCAAGACAAGCATGTCCTTCCCCTGTACTATTGGCTTTGGCCTCATCTTCTCCTGCTCTGGGGTCATACCCGGTGATCCTTGGGGGCTGCTTCTGGCTCTGGGACCCCAGGGGAGCTGAGGGGTGATGCTGTACTGGGAAGCAAACCTGGATATGAATCACGTGCTCAGTCCCCCGAGCTCTCTCACCCCCAGAATTTCTTTCAGGGGTCCAACAACAAACGATTCAAGTGGGAAATGGCACAATTGCTCTATTTTAGGTTTTTACTTATTTATTTTTTTGGGGGGTCACACCCCATAATGCTCAGGAGTTACTCCTGGCTCTGCTCTCAGGAATCACTCCTGGCGGTGCTCAGGGGACCATATGGGATGCTGAGAATTGAACCCTGGTTGGTCGCGTGCAAGGCAAACGCCAACCCGCTGTGCTATCTCTCCAGCCCCCCAAATCATTGTTTCCAATGACACACAGAAATGGGACATTCCTGGAAAAATACAATTTCTCGCAATGTCACCATGTTTGAAGCCAGACTACTCAGCCAGGGAAGGGAATTTCCTGGCCGAGGCAAGGCTTCTGGAAGGGGGTTTCATAACTCACCCTAGCCCTTCAATTGTTTTCTTCTGGTTTTGAGTCACACCCATGGTGCTCAGGGATCATTCCTGGTGGGGCTCGGGGGGGGGGTCATATGGGGTGCTGGGGATCAAGCCTGGGTCTCACGCACGCAAAGCTAGTGCCCCACTCACGATACTATTCCTCCAGCGCTGCCCCCCCATTACCCCTAAAGGGTAAATGAATGCTGTGCTGAGTCCGCGGGTCATTTGCCTCGCTCCTTCCTATGTTGACTTGACATGCAGGATGTGTGGACTTTCCTACGTTGAGAGCATATGTCAGTATCATCTGTTGACACCAATTTGCCTGATTTTGAGTTTTTAAAAATCCATCGTTTAAATCCAGCTTTTCAGAAACGTGGTGAATGTATTAAATGTCTTACTGCCTTGGTGGCAAACAAAAGTGTGCGTGGAAAAGATGGAGAAACGGCGGGCTGGGGGCTGGACTGTCCCCCCCCTCCTCCACGGTTCTGGTTGGCAGCAGGCACCCGGACTCCTCTTCCCGGAGACCCTCCCGGGCTAGGGAAGGAGGAAGTGGCAAGATTAAAGGTGCTTGGGCAAAGCAGGGATGGCACCCACAGGGATCCTGATGCATCTCCCCCCCCCCCCCAGAGGCGGGCGGGGGGGGGGGGGGGGCAGGCAGCAAACTCACTCAGGCTTGTTGGGCCTCAGGGCGTTATGGATACCAGGGATGGAACCCAGATGGGCTGTGTGCAAGGTAGTGTCCTACTGGCTATTTGGTCCTCCCTTCCTCCCTTCCTTCCCTCCCTCCCTCCCTCCCTCCCTCCCTCCCTTCCTTCCTTCCTTCCTTCCTTCCTTCCTTCCTTCTTTCCTTCCTTCCTTCCTTCCCCCTTCCCTCCCTCTCTTTCTCCTTTCCCTCCTTCCCTTCCTCCCTCCCTCCCTCCTTTCCCACCCTCCTTCCTTTCTTCCTTCTTTCCTCTATTCCTTCCCTCCCTCCCTCCTTCCTTCCTCCCTCCCTCCCTCTCTTCCTCCCTCTCTTCCTTCTGGGGCCCAACACAGGGCTTCCCACCCAGAGCTGCCCCCTGGACCTTGAACAGGACACGCGCTGTTGGAGCTGCCTCCTGTCCCCTGTTGGAGCAAGGCCTCCGGTGTGCCGGGGTGGGGGTGGGGGGTGGGGGGCAGGCACTTGAAAAGCCCCCGCGGCGGGGCCGGGGACAGGTCTCTGCAGCCGCCTTCACCCTCGAGGGGGAAATTCCCGCTGGGAATTGATGTAAATATGTGACTGCAGAAAAAGGCGAAGAGCAAACCGCCGCCGCGTGGGTTATTTTGGGCTCCAGAAGAAAGTCCGGCGGGCGGGCGCAGCGGGCAGCCTGGGGTCCCAGCTGGGCCCGCGCCTCCCCGAACCTCCTCCTCCCCCACCCCGCCACCCCACCCTCACCCGGGACCCCAGAGCCGGCTAGGGCCGCCCGGAGCTCTGCGCCCACCCCTGCGCGTCCACCCCCAGCGCTGCCGGCTGGAACGCCAGCCCCGTCCCGGGTCCGGCTCCGGCCACGCGCTGAGGTTCGCCGGCCCCGGGGTCCTCGCAGCGGCCGGCGCCCAGAGCAGGGGGCCCCGGCCGGTCCCCGCGGCCAGGGGTGTGACCCCAGACCCCCCCCCCAAAGCGGGCAGGAGTGTGCGCGGTGGTGGTGGAGGGAGGGGTTCCCCAGTCTCCGATCGCCCCTCGGGCCGCGAGACTGGCCGGACACACGCGATTCCCGCGGCGGCCCGGAGCGGCCAGGCCGGGAGCGAGTGTGGCCGCCGCCGCGGGTCAGCGCCGGGTCCTCGCGCTCCCCGGGCAACCGCACGGACCCCGCGAGGCTCCTGGGGGGAAGCCCGGGCCGGGGCCAGGAACCGCCCCTCGCGCCCAAAGGGCCGTTCAGGAGACCCGGAGGGCCGTGGCCGCCTCGCAAGGAGCCAGGGGTCAGCGACCCCGGCCACCCAGAGCGCCGCGACCGGCCCCCCCACCCCCACCGTCTCCCCCGGGTCTCCGCCCGCGCCCAGCTCCCCGTGGAGGCGAGAACTCCGGGTCCAGACACCCCCAGCCCAGCAGCTGCCCCCCACGCTCACCCCCAGGGGCTGGCAGGTTCCCCCCACGGGGTAACGGGCTGAAGGCAGGAGTCCCTGGGGACTCACGAAGGGCGCACGAGAGTCGCGGGGTCCCGGGGTGCAGGGGAGGCGCGGGGGGGCAGGAGTACCGGGAGGCGCGGGGGGCGCAGGGGAGCCGCGGGGGGGCGCGCAGGGGAGTCGCGGGGGGCGCCGGAGCGGCGGGACAAGGGGGGGCGCACAAGAGTTGCGGGGGGCGCACGGGAGTCGCGGGGGGCGCGGGGAGGCGCGGGGGCGCCGGAGCGGCGGGGCGCGCGGGGGGTGGCGGGCGCGTGTCCCAGCGGAGCCGGGGCGGGGCGGGGACCCCGGGGCGCGCCTCCCGCCCGCCCCCCGGCGCCCCGCCCCGCCCGCGCCCGGAAAGCCCCCGCGGCTCCTCCCACCCGGGGGCTCGGCCACCCCCAGCGCCGTCACCGCCGAGCTCAGACGCCGGGGCCGTTCCCGCGCCCGCCGCGCGCCCAGCCGGGCCCTGGGGTGTCCCCGCGGCCGCGACCCCCCGCATGGTGCTGCTGGCCGGGCCCGGGCCCGAGGGCGGCGGGGCGCGCTGCGTGTCCCCGCCGCCGCCGTCGCCGCCCCGGGACGCGCAGGCCGGGGAGGACCCCGAGGACTCGGAGGAGTACGAGGACTTCTCGCGCCTGCCCGACACCCGCAGCCTCGCCTCCGACGACTCCTTCTACCCTCCCGGCGCCCACGAGGAGCTGGGCGCGCCAGGCGCGCCGGAGCCCGTCCCGGAGGGCGTCCCGGAGGCGGCGACCCTTCTGCGCGCGGCCGGCGCCAACGACGTGGGGCTGCTGCGGGCGCTGATCCGGCGGGGCCCGCGCGAGGAGGAGGTGCGGGAGACGGACCGCAACGGCCGGGTAAGCGCGCGCTCCGCGGCGCCCCGGACTCCCCGGCCGGTGCTCTCGGGCCCGCCCGCGGGGACGCTCCCGGGTCGGTGCCCCCGCAGGTCCCGCGCCGAGCCCCGGGTCGGGCTGGGACACCGCCCGCGGCTTCCCCGCGCCCCCGGGGCCCTGACCCGCTTTCCTGACGCGTCCCTCCCGCCGCCGCGCGCAGACTTGCCTCGGTCCACACCGCCCGCTCCGCGCTGCCGGTGCTGCGGGGGAGAGCCGGGTGCCGCCGCTGCTGTCACACACACACTCGCACACACACACACACACACACACACGCTCGCACACACACACACACACACTCGCACACACACACACGCACACACACACACACTCGCACACACACACACACACTCGCACACACACACACACTCGCACACACACACACACACTCGCACACACACGCGCGCGCACACGCACACACACGCGCCGGGCACGGAGAAAATGAAAGAAAAAGTTGGCTCGGGGCGGGCTGTGTGGGGCCAGCGGCGGCAGAGGGACGCGGACAGCGCCCCAGTGTCCGGGCGCGGGGCCCAGCTCCGGGCCCGCCGCTGTCCGACTTCGCGCCCACCCCGGGACCGGGGGCGGTGCGGGGTGCTGCTGTCATACTCGGTGGCCCCCAGCCCGGGCGTGTCCGGACACACCCCCCTCCCCACACCCCGCCTGGCTTTGAGGTGGCCGCCCTGCAGATGGCCCGCCGCTGGACTCGCGTCCCGGGCAGCTGCCGGCATCCAAGGCCGCTCCCCGAGGCGGTGCGTGCGCGCGCGTGGGCGCCCCGGCAAGGGTCTGGGGGAACCCGGAGTGCTGTCCCTCCTCCCGTGTCCTGGCCGCCCCGGGACCTCCCGCTTAGCTCAGCTTTGGTCTCCATGGAGGGGGGGGGACCAAATACCCAAGAAAGTTCGAAAGCGGCTGCAACTTGGCCAAATGAGGCTCTGAGCTGTGCGGGGAGGGGTCCTGGCTGCATGCGGGTGCCTCTGAAAAGCCCCCTGCTGGGATGGATACCTGCGGGGTGCTTCTGAGCAGCCCTGCTCCCCGGGCCTGCATAGGGTGCTTCAGAAAGGACCCCCTCTGCCGGGCTGCTGGAAGGGCACTGGAACCAGAGACCGACTCCGCGCCTCAGTTTCCTGGTTTCACCGCAGGATCTGGGCAGTGTGTCCTTCCAGGTGGTGGGCACCAGATGTCGACTGACCGGCCTGGTTTGCCATCCTGTCCTGCTCCCACAGGCTCGTCCCGGGTCTTAAGCCTCTTTCTCCCCCGGGATTACGCAGCCTCCCTGAGTTCTCTGCTGAGTCTCCTCGGAGCGCTCCCTGCCCCCGCGAAAGCCAGATGGAGAGGTGACACAGGCCCACCCCCAGGCGACTTGCTATTTTAGCTTCTGATGGGATGGAGCGAGTCTCCTGGGACGCGGGGAGCTTTCCTGCTTCCCAGCCTTCCAGTCCAGCGCCTCCGCATTCCCGAGAAAACCGAGAAAGGACCAGGTGTTGGGAGGCGTCCGTCCGCATTGACCTCTGAGGGGCCAGCTTTTCCTCCCAGGGTCAGCATTCCTTCCAGAGGGTGTCATGAGGCCCTCGGGGTCAGCATTCCTTCCAAGGGCAGGTCACGTGTACGTTTATTGCAGACCTACTGTGTGCACTGCCTGGACTGGGTGTGGAGATTTGAGGAGCCACCAGCCTCCTGGGACTCTGAGAGGGTCTCAATGGAGAGAACTCGGTGATATTCCCAGTGCTTGGAGAGGAGTGTTTAGGGAAGAGCAGTACCCATTGCTCAGGGAGGAGCAGTACCTGGTGCTCAGGGAGGCACGGTACCCGGGTCCCAGGGAGGAACAGTGCCCAGTGTTCAGGGAGGAACAGTACCAGGTGCTCAGGGAGGAACATTACCCGGTGCTCAGGGAGGAACATTACCCGGTGCTCAGGGAGGAACATTACCCGGTGCTCAGGGAGGAACATTACCCGGTGCTCAGGGAGGAACATTACCCGGTGCTCAGGGAGGAACATTACCCGGTGCTCAGGGAGGAACATTACCCGGTGCTCAGGGAGGAACATTACCCGGTGCTCAGGGAGGAACATTACCTGGTGCTCAGGGAGGAACAGTGAGGAGCAGTATCTGCTACTTTGGGAGGAACAGTACCCGGTGCGTAGGCATGAATCATGAATAGTACCTAGTACTTAGGAATGGAACCTGGTACTTAGAAACATTGCTGGGCGCTCGGAGAGGAGTGGTTCCCAGTGCTCCCGCCAGAGGCAGGAGACAGGGGTCTGAAGTCAGCTGCTCTCAGCTGAAGACTGTCAGTTCTCAGCTGCAGGCACTGAGGCCTGAGGCTTTGGAGGGGGAGGGGCGCATAGCCTTGGGGTGGGTGCTCTGGGTGAGTCATGCACAGGGAGAGAGACCCAGCCTGGCACTGAGGCATTAGCACCAGGTCCCTCTGGAGGCTTCTCTGCACCCCGTGTCCTCACTGGCCACCACACTGCCTTTGGGCTATTCGCTTGCCCGCTTTGAGTGGGACTTGGTAGCAAAGGTGTGGGGCCAGTTTCTGTGGCGTCCCTGCCTGTGCAAAGGCCCTGGGGCCAGAGCCTTGCTCTAGCCTGGACTCCAGGCTGATCCAGATCAGGAAGGATAAAACCTTTACCTAATGCTGCGCTCTGGGGGTAGTTACGGGCTGAGTAAGGAGCTGGGGGGTGGCGGGCAGGTGGGAGCTGCGGGCAGCCATGGGAAGGGCGCTTTGTGCGCACGGACGGATGTTTCCTCGGGTTTGGAGTGAGGGTCAGGGCGGCTGTGAGGAAGAGGCACTGTGGGCTGCCGGCGTTGGTTAGCAGAGGCTGCGTCTGCGCCGTTGCCTGCGGGGTCAGTGCCCAGGAGGGCCACGTGTGGCATGGGCAGAGACACCCCCGCCCCCCAGCGCCTGCCCGCACTCGAGGCCTCTCAGGTTGACGGCTGGGCTTCCTCCCTTGGCCGCGTGCTCTCCCTCGCCTCCCCCATCCTCCCGTTATCTCCCAGCGCGCACCCTTCCGGCCTGCCAGCTTGGGAGCCAGGAAGGAGCAACGGAAGTGCCATGTGTCCCCACTGTGGGCGGGCGGGTGGCAGGACGCTCTGGAGCACGGCCAGGCCAGGAGACTGGGCCGACCGCATCCAGCCCAAGCCCTGCGGCTCCCCGGCCTGCCCAGGTCCTAGGGTCTGGGGATGCCTGTTTCGGTAGGCTCCACGGGCCCCCCAGTGTTTGCCGGGTTTGCAGGGGGGACCTGCTCTTGCCTTTCGCACAGACCAGGCCGCGCTGCCGAGTGACCTTCTGTGGAAAGTGCTGCGTTTAGCTTTGCTTTGTCTCTTCAGAGAGTGTGTTTTGGGCCACATTCCGTGATGCTCGGAAGCTCCCCATGTTTGGGGGGATCATGCGGTGCTGGGGATGGACCCTGGGCTCTCACGGGCGGAGTCTGAGCCCAGCCCTGAGCTGCCTCTTGGGGCCTCATTGCATCCTCTACAGAATCAAGGCCAGATTTACGCTCTGGAGTGTGAATGCGCGTGAATTCTTCCTCCCTCCCTCTCTCCCTCCCTCCTTTCTTTTTCTTCCTCCCTCCCTCTCTCCTTCTCTCTCTCCCTCTCCTCCCCCTCTCTCTCTCTCTCTCTCTTTCTCCGGTGTTTATTCACTAGTTCTAAGCAGGGATGTAGTTGCTTTAAATATATTTATTAAACGTGTTAACTTGGGGCTGGAGCGATAGCACAGTGGGTAGGGTGTTTGCCTTGCACGCAGCCAACATGGCCGGCCCGAGTTCGATTCCTCCGCCCCTCTCGGAGAGCCCGGCAAGCTACCGAGAGTATCTCGCCCGCACAGCAAAACCTGGCAAGCTCCCCGTGACGTGTTCGATATGCCAAACACAGTAACAAGTCTCATAATGTTACTGTGCCCGCTGGAGCAAAATCGATGAACAATGGGAGGACAGTGACAGTGACAGTGAAATGTGTTAACATAGGGGCTGGAATGATGGTACAGTGGGGAGGGCACTTGCCTTGCACGTGGCTGACCCGGGCTTGATGCCCAGCATTCCAGATGGTCCCTTGAGCCCTGCAGGAGTGATTCCTGAGCACAGAGCACTGAGCATCGCTGGGTGTAACCCCAAAACCAAAATAATAAACAAGTATCAGCCTAACTTAGAGACTAGGGTCTATGCGATACTATATCCTGAACATTTATTTTATTTTATTTTTATTTGGGGCCGCAACAGGCCATATTCAGGGGTTACCCCTGGCTCTGCGCTCAGGAATTATGCCTGGTGGTCCCCAGGGGACCATGAAGGTTGCCAGGGATCAAACCCAGTTGGCTACATGCAAGGCAAGCACCCCACTCGCTGGGCTGTCGTTCCAGCCCAGAAATTTTTTGAGAATGACTTTGAAGGCGGGGTGGGGGGGTGGGGGGGAACGACGACAGAAATTCTCAATGACAGCCATTCCCAGATTTCTCAGAGTTAAGTCAAAACAGTTCCATATGCAGAACAATATATAAACCCTTTTAATGAAAGGAAATGAGAAGCATGTAGCAAAGTTGTTAAAATATGTGAAGAGAGAAAACGTGAGTAATTAGAGCAGTTGGGAAGCCTTCCTGGAGGGGGTGGGGTGGGGCGTGGGCGGCTGACCGTGGGGCTGTCGCGCGTGTCCCCTTAGCTAAAGGCAGACCTTTTCTCCCTTTGTGGGTTTTAGGGCCATTCCTGGTCATGTTTGGGGGCCACTCTGAGCTCTGAACGTGGGGGTCACTCCTAGCAGGGCTCAGACTGACCAGGGTCCTGCACGTGGATCTTGTTCTTTGTGTTTGTTTGTTTGGAGTCTCACACAATGGTGCTCAGGGGCTACTCCTGGCTCTGAGCTCAGGGAATCCCTCCTGGCAGTGCTCTGGGGACCATATGGGGTTCTGGGGATTCTCCCTGGGCAGCCATATGCGAGGCAGATGCCCACTCCACTGTCCCGTGGCTCTGGGCACTGGGCCT